GCCTTACAGCCTGCTGAGGTTGCTTACGAAGGAGAGACAGAGAAACAATCTGCAGAGGATTATGAACCCAACAGCCAGCACAAAGACAGCCGAAGAAACGGCTGTGAGCCAAATAGCAAGGAGCTCTGGCGTAGGGTCTGCTCTCAGGAATTCAAAACTTACATCTGTTTATTAACAGTTCATGGGTGTACCACTCAGCCACATGGGTTGGGTGCTTTGTACTTAATTTTTTTTCCACAGTGAGCCTTAGAGAGGGACCCCACAGCGGCGTTGAAAAGTTTTGGAATCCCCGCGCGTGGTGGATGTCATCCGCTGCCAAAAGGACAGCCTCAGAAGGAGGGGATCCCACAGCGTCCGAGTTGCAAGGGGGGTCCACCGAGTTTGGTTTCCCGAAAAGGAGACAGAGGAGAAAGTTTCCTTTTCGGGACAGTAGTTTTGAATCACCTGAGAGGGTGGTGTAGTCCTCGGACACTTCCTGGTCTGTCCAGGTGGGCCGAGAGGGCGACGACGGGCGACTCGTACTGGACAAGCGACAGGCATCGCACAGTCCCTCGGGTCTTGGTACGAGAAGTGGACCGCTCCCAATTTCGTTTTGGCGTAGAGCCGTTGGCGGCTGGCCGAAGGTGGCACTGTGGGCAGCAGTGTCAGTGCCGACATGTGCGTTTTTTGGAAAAAAAACAAGTGTCCCATCAAGTCATCCTCACAGGCCACGTGGGGCATCTCTCCGAAGGTGCCGGCGGCGACGCGGTGATAGCCGTCCGCCATAGCTCGTGCACCGGGAAGAACGTGTCACCTGTGACGTGTGTACGGAAGGTTTTTTTGCGGAGGAGGTTTTTTTTTTTGTGTGGAGGCGGGTGGGCATGGCAGAGGGTGAGGGCGATGCCATGGACTGGGAAGGGGCAGGCGATGTTTTGGAGGGGGGTGAAAGCGAGGACGTCCTCTTCATTGTCGTCCTCATGGTGTTGGAGATGGTCCGGCAGCGAACAGAGCAGTGCTGTCGATTATCAACGCTGCTGCTGCAGCATCGACGTCCTGCCCAGATATGGCGAATGTTGTCATGCTGCTCACAGGAGGGTATGTGCATAGCGTGTCTCTGATGTCCGCTGCTTGCAGGCTCCTTGGCCAACGCCGTCCAAGCAGAAGGCGATTTTGGGTGCTACATAGGACAGGCGGTACATGGAAAGACCTGCAAAGGGTCGGCGACGCTCACGACAAGGTGTTCTGCAGATTTTGTCGCCTTCCGAGAGCGTTGTTTCAGGAGGTTGCTGCCCGCATCGCCCCCCACATCCAGCGGCAAACGACAAATTGGAGACAACCATTACCTGTGGAGCAGAAGCTCGCATACACACTCATTCGATGGGCGACGGGAGGCTACTACAGACAGATGGGTCATGGGTTGGGTGTGGGTTTGGCGAGCGCTTTGCGCAGCAACGAGGAGGTTGCTGATGCGATTATCCGGGAGTACGACCACCTCCTTATGTTCCCCCAGGGCCGGCGTCTGCAGGACGTGTTGGATGCTTTTGAGGCGAAAGGCTTTCAAGGGTGTGTAGGTGCAATTGACTGCACCCACATGTACATTGAGAAGCCCAGGAACGAGCGGTCGGAATGCTACTACGACCGCACGAAACAATACTCCATTGTCGCTCAGGTGGTGTGTGACCATGAGCGCAGGATCCTTGACGTGTTCATTGGCTGTCCGGGGTCCGTTCATGACTCCCATGTCATCCGTTTGTCGAACCTGTACATAAACGCACAGGGTGGTCATGGCATCTTTCACGAAGGTCACTCCTTGTTTGATGGCACCATCGTGCAGCGTTATGTTTTGGGCGACGCAGGTTATCCTTTGTTGCCATGGTTAATGACTCCCAAGGGTGGGGACAGCCTCACTCCAATGGAGATGTGCTACGATGACTGCCACACCGCAGCAAGGAGTCCCGTTGAACGAATTTTTGCGCTGCTGAAGGGGGTGTGGAGGAACTTCAGGAGGAAGTAGATAGGACACATGAGAACCATACGTAACAAGTTCATGGCATGTTGTATCCTCCACAACCTCATGTTGGACATGAGGATTGATATAGATCCCGCTGACCTTGGCAGCAACTCGGATGCGGACGACGAGTCCGACGGTGATGACCGTTGGCCACGCAGGCGCCGCCGTGGATGGAGAAACAACGTCGAAGATCATCGGCCATATCCGCAAGATCCACGAGACGACATTTACGGGCGGCGATGAGGGGAAGGTGGCAAAGGCGAGGCTCATGCGGCACGTTGAACATCACATCCGGGTTCATGGTCGACCTGCTCCCTGTCCTTGGCGCGCTTCGTAGTGGTGTTTGTACGGCGCAGAGAGAGAGAGAGAGAGAGAGAGAGAGAGAGAGAGAGAGAGAGAGAGAGAGAGAGAGAGAGAGAGAGAGAGAGAGAGAGAGAGATGTTCCAAAACAAACAACCATTCCGCCATATTTTTGTAGACATATGTTTTGTTCTTTTCGGTTTGTTGTGTCCTTTGTATACATGTACGACGATATATACATATATATAACCAATCCACTTTTGTCAGTGGTATATATATATAGACGAAACAGTTAGCTATTGTCCTTCATTTGTCGTCCTTATCTCCCATTCTGCGTATGGTTCATTTATATACCACTATTTGATGTTATATATCGTCACAAACAGAACTGCCCGGTAAAACCATAGGCAGAGAGAGAGAAGAGGACAACAAACGAGGGGTTGTGACAAACTGTTTCGTCGGAGTTTCACCGACTCATATATATATATATATATATATTTCCTGTTTTTTTTTTTTTTTTTTCTCTGTGTTTCATCTCGAGGTTGTTCGGTGACATGAGACGATAAAGCAGCGACCGGACATGAGTTCCCTCAACAATTGCGTGAAAAACATTGCACAACAAACCACATGCATTGCTACGAAAAGAATCAATGAAAGCCACATACAATCATGATAGCATACATAATTGCAAATAGAGACGAGTAGAAGACGTGCATAGGTTGATTACAACGTTGAGATACATATTGAAATGAAGATAGGTTGACAGATTAATAGAATGATAGATGAATAGATGGATAGATACAAAGGCACGTTTGCCTTTTGTATCACTCAGTCTATCATTCTATCTATCTATCCCCCCAACATCATTTGTATGCGCATATCAACGTTTCAATTTACCTCTACATGTTATGCACATCTCTGCCCTCCCTCCATCTATCTGCATTTTATGATCATCCAATCCATGAATGACATTTGTGTGCATTTCCATTTGCTTGTGTATTCATCAGTGATTCTAACCACCATCATGCAAGCACAAAACAAATGATATGTTCAAATATTCCTTCCGAAATTCAAACTCCATCTCTCCTTATGTTGTTCCCAAAATCTGCAACTTAAACAAATTCGTAGAACAATCGGTCACCCTCTCTCGGAACACTTCCCCTACGATCGAGAGAGGGAGAGAGAGAGAGAGAGAGAGAGAGAGAGAGAGAGAGCATAGAAACATGTTTCATAAAACGATCGGTCACTCTCTCTCTGAACACTTCCCCTAGGATCGAATCGAGGCCTAAAACAGTCGAGAAACCGACCACGTAGCAGGACCATTGTTGTCATTGCCACACAACGGTTTTTACACCATCGACGAATCTCGGAAAAAAAACTTGAATGAACGACGAGTCTGTCGGAGGATGAATGCAACGACTTTGAACAACCCGGATCCTGAATGTCCCTGCACCAGTCACTAACGCGAAAGGAGTGCAATCGCTGCCATCGCCTCCCGATCAACCATGTCCTCATTACTAACCTACCACCTATTACGTGCAGCTCTGAGGTCGTTGTCGGGGCACCACATTTGCACTGCTCCGTGAATGTACGATCGGTCTCGAAGTGGAGGCTTCATGTGCGCCACGTACGATGCATCCCCTTGCACTGCAACAAGGTGTTCCTCGACGATGGCTAAGATGAGATACTTCACAATATCCCCAACGATGTCACGATTGAGGACTGGCCAATTGTCGGGGACAACCTCCGACAATTTCTTCACCGATAACACAACCTCCGCAAGGTTGTCCTGGACGTCGTACCTAATGTCGGTTGCCATCCTCATCACCATAAGCCTGTTCATAAGGGCGTAGTACACGCGCTTGCAAACCGTGTGGACAGTTGGACCCCACTCCGTCTGTCGCTCCACCTCCGACCCTCGCTCGTACTGGGTCTCCTGAATGACCACCTACTTCCCATCGATCCTTCTCCCGGACCATGGCCTTAACGTCCACCATCTCTCTCTCTCTCTCTCTCTCTCTCTCTCTCTCTCTCTCTCTCTCTCTCTCTC